ACCATTAAATCCCGCACAACAGAAGCCATCAAATTTCACTCAAATATCTGTGTTGGGCCCAATGACTTCAGTCAAACTAAACCATTTCAATCCTTAGAAAAATAGACTGTCTTGTGCCACAGGTCGAGAACAGGATGCTGCCAATGCCCTGAGAGGCCCATGCAGTGCGGGGAATTGATTAGGTGAGACATGCCAAGATGATCCTAGGACCCTGCCAATCTGACCTGGGGGTAAATTCCTACCCAGCCCAAATCTGAGGATCACCTACACCTTGAGCATGTGAGCGGGACAAACCAGCCAGGCATCTAAAACACAATTCCTGATACCACCTCAGATGATCACTGATCTACCCGAACCAGTATCCTTCCTGTCCCAGATTATAATTGTACATTGGGAGGAAAAAATCCTTCTCATTCCCTTCAAGCAACCAGCTGAAGCCATGAAGCATGAGATTAGTTTATAGTCATTATTATAGAACAGAGCTACATATTTGGAATATATGGGCCACATGTCAGCTGCAGGACCAGAAAAGGAACCAACTCACAGACTGATCCATCTCTCAAACATCTCAGGGTCATGCAAATTGTAAAACTTTGTATACCCAAAGAAGTTGCACCAGTTTGATTTAAATTAGTTTAAAAATATTTAAACTGATGCAACACACTGGGCACATTTAAAAAGTTAATTTGGTTTTAGAGATATTACCAGATCTAGCAATATTACCTACACTTAAAAGGGGGAATTCCATTAAAACCAGTAATATCTCTATAAATTGAATGAATTTTGTAAGTGTGCTGACTGTATATTGGTTTACTCCTGGTTTGTATTTGTACTTAGATATAAATCAGGATTAAATCGATAAAAGAGCATCCACACACAAAGTTGCACCAATTTAACTAAATCACTTCAAATCACACCTTTAGTTAAACCAGTGCACTTTTGCATGTAGTAGATCAGGTAGATAAGTCCAGCCTTACCAAAGGCAAAGAAACGGCAGCTTTCACTCTGGTTCAACTCAGCCACATATGTTGAGTAGTACAGACAGAGGTTTCCAGTGAGTATTTGCCAGCAAATCAGTTGGCATCCAGTTCAAGTCTTATGCCTTCTCTGGTCTCTGTTTTCTTTACACTGGCAAAAGAGAATGCTTACATGACATGCTAGTTCTTATCTATGCCTAGAGCCTTTTTCTTCTCTCACATTGATGTAAATAGAAGTCACTGAAATTACCACTGTGTGAGCAAGGGTGGAATCAAACCTCTAATTCTATCATTTTATTATTACCAAAAACTAGAGAAGGGCAGTGGCTCAACCTGTTTTTCTATGCCTGCCATCTTCTACAAGCAAGTTGCTCAGTTCTGCCAGACCACAGGGAAGGTGCAGAGGACAATACAGGCTTCCCAAAGATTTGCAGAGCAGTTGAATTGGCCTTCTTCTGATGTGAAAAAGCCTCCAGGAAGCTCCCAGCACTTGAAACCACCATGCAGGTGATGTTATTGCTACATATTTATTAGGTTTCTTTTAAGGACCTTTTTTTCTTCTCTTGCATTCCTGGAGTTGTTGGAGTTCCTCACAGCGGGGTGTGGCCTCATGCTTTCTGAGACAGCCAAGGTGATATAATCTCAAGTCACTGGAACCAACCTCATAAAAAGGTATTAATCACTAGCTAGCTTACATCACAATGAACTGGTGTTGTGTAAGAAAGGAATGTGAGGAACAGTTTGATTTCAGATAAAGGTAAGGAGAGGGGCAGGACTTCCATGCCAGGCAGAGCACAAGATTACAGAGCTATTTTAGTCACAAATTCCATAAAACCTGTGATTCAGACTTACTCAAACTATTCACTGCCCCCAAGGAAAGGAATGTTCAGTTTCTACCGACCTATTTACAGCCAAAAGAAATGGTTGATAATTTTTTGTTATTTTTTAGCTCCCTCTCACCTACATTTACCACTAAGGTCAGAACTCCAATACCATCAAGTATTCCCCCATAATGTAGCTTTCTCATCCCAGGAGTTACTACTTTTTAAATAGTGTGTTATTCCACACACCCAGCAGCTGAAAGGTTGCATTGAGGGATAAAATTCAGATTGAACGGGCAGGAGGAAGGTTTGGCTCAGACACTCAATGCTTAGTTACTGTGGTGATTGGCACTGTATGAATACCATATGTAGCTCTTGATTCTGATCACACTTATAGGCCAGGTCTTCATTAGAAAAGATTTGCTGATATAGCTATATTGGTATAGCTGTACTGGCAAACTTTCCGTCTTTAACTACAGTACATAGTTTATACCAAAAAACATGCTTTTACTGGTGTAGTTTATATTGATTCCCCAAGTGAAATAAGCCATACCAGCAAAAACACTTTTATGCTACTAAAACTGCAGTTACACTAGGGTTTTAGCTGGAATAGAAATCTCATAAGTAATCACACTCTTAACTGACATTACAATAACATCAAATGTTTGTAGTGTAGAAGTAGGCCTGTATTTAGTACCATGTTGGTGATTGCATCTGAAGAAGTGGGTTTTTTATCCACGAAAGCTTATGCCCAAATATATCTGTTAGTCTTTAAGGTGCCACTGGACTCCTCGTTGTTGTTGTTGACAACAGTGTGGTTCAGACGTGGTAAAATGTTCTATTGTAGACCAGGGCTGGCACTGTTTTTAGCTATATCACTGTTTTTATATTTCAATTAAGTTACTCTTCATTTACAGTGTCAGATCAGAATAGGGCCCAGTAGATTAGATAGATTTGGTTTAATCATGCACCCATTGAAATCAATGGTCGTTTTGTTCAATATTAGCAAGTAAGTGGAAAAAAATATCAGTGGGAGTTGTATAGAAAAGAGAAAGGTAGACATAGGAAGGTCATAACATAGGTTCTTACACTTCCTTTTCATAAAAGGATCTGAAGTTTGCAAACCATCATGTTTGGCATCAATAACAGCTTTTATTTGACACATCACCCATTCAACCTCCTTCTTACTGAAGCTTCTCCCTTCCAAAAATGCAATGTCGTTATTTATTACTCTTAAAGAAAAAAAAAAAAGGAATTTAACATCCTCTTTCTCCTCTCTCTCTCAGATAAATGCAGCTTTGTCAGAACACTATTTAAGCTTGTGTGACCAGATTGCTTCCCTCTTGCACACATAGTACAGTGATCATACAGATAACCAATAAATTTTCTGTGACATTTAATGTTCATGAATGTGAAAAATGTTAGCACTAGCTAAAGGTCCACACATAGTCCTGTAAATGCACTTCATTCCTTTCTTAACATTCCTGATGCTGTCCGTGATATATAAATCTATATACCGCATATTAGATAGAAAATTCTTTAGGGCAAGGACTTTGTTTTATTTTATACCTGTAAAGTATCAGGCACACCTGTGGTAATATATAAATAATAATATGCCAGCACTGGGTTTGTCCCAAGCAAAGCCTGCCAATTAACCCCATTACCCAATGATTTGGTTTTTGTGCTGATAATAATAATATTAAAGCAAATAGCAAGGGAAATACTTGCTATGGAATGGGCTGAGATGATAAATCACATTTCTCAATGGCCTAAATCAGATCCAAACAGTTTTCCATCAAAGCTAAAAGTTAAAGTTCCTATCATGCATTCCCAACTGCCATGGAAGGCTTTTCCTGCATCAGAACTACAAAATCTGCAAGCCCAGGCTGCTTTACGTCGTTTTTGTACTGATTTTTTCAGTTAGAGGTGTGTGATTTTTTTACCAAAATAGTTATAGCAATACAACTCCTGGTGGGGATGGGGTATAAAGGTATCTAAGGCCTGGTCTACATTATGAGTTTAGGTCGAATTTAGCAGCGTTAAATCGAATTAACCCTGCACCCATCCACACAACAAAGCCATTTACTTCGACATAAAGGGCCCTTAAAATCGATTTTTGTACTCCTCCCCGACGAGGCTGAAATCGACATTGCCATTTCGAATTAGGGTTAGTGTGGCCGCAATTCGACACTATTGACCTCCGGGAGCTATCCCACAGTGCACCATTGTGACCGCTCTGGACAGCAATCTGAACTCGTATTCACTGGCCAGGTAGACAAGAAAAGCCCTGTGAACTTTTGAATTTCATTTCCTGTTTGCCCAGCGTGAAGAGCACAGGTGACCACGCAAAGCTCATCAGCACAGGTAACCATGCAGTCCGAGAATCGAAAAAGTGCACGAGCATGGACCGTACGGGAGGTATTAGATCTGATCGCTATATGGGGAGAGGATTCCATGCTAGTAGAACTACGTTCCAAAAGACAAAATGCCAAAACATTTGAAAAAATCTCCAAGGGCATCGAATTCTGTAAATTCGGAGTAATCCCATAGTGTAGACATACCCTTAGGGTACGTCTACACTTACCTCCGGGTCCGGCAGCAGGCAATCAATGTTCTGGGATCGATCCCGGAAATGCTTGCCGTCGACGCCGATACTCCAGCTCGGCGAGAGGAGTACGCGGCATCGACGGGGGAGCCTCCCTGCCGCGTCTGGACCCGCGGTAAGTTCGGACTAAGGTACTTCGAATTCAGCTACGTTATTAACGTAGCTGAATTTGCGTACCTTAGTCCGAAGTGGGGGGTTAGTGTGGACCAGGCCTTATACTAGAATACCTTATTGCCTTTCTGTACAGAAATAAGTATAATTGTGTCCACACTTGAAGGGTTGTACAGATATAACTATACCTCTGTATTGAAAGCAGTACAACTTCTGTGCATAGCCAATCCCTGAATGATCCTACTCCCTCGGCTCATGAGAACTACTCCTCTGCCAATTAGGTTTTTACAGTGTTTTTCTATAGGTAACTGGCTTAACAAATGTATTTCCATATCCGTAAAACTCTTGAAAAGGGAATTTACCAGATTGTTTGTAAAATCTAGAAGAAGAAATGTATGGCTCCAAAGACGATGTATTTAAAATTATAGTTTGGTTCAGTAAGCCAGTATTCTACATTATCTCTCTTGTCTACTTTTCTTAAGAATGCCTATAATCTCACATATGGAAAGATGACAGTGTTTGGAGTAGTGACCAGAGGGATGGGACACAAGAATTCTAACCCTGGTTCTGCCACTGATTCACTGTCCACTCTAGCAAATCATTTATCCTCTGCTTTGGCTGCCTTCACTATAATATGAGGATAACAATATTTATCTACCTACTTGGGATGTTGTGAGGATTAATTGATTAGTAAATGTTTATTCAGTGATTTATAATGTTTTATACATGTGCTATTTTCTGTAATAAAATACCATGCTAATTTGCCAGTGAGGTGATTTTTTTGTAACTTATTGATTTTGTCCAGCTTTTTAAAAGTGTAAAGTTGTTTTGACATCATCCCAGCTAGTGAATAAATATCTGCTTATGATGCTCTATTAATTATGACCCTAATTTTGCAAATACTCGCACACATGCTTAAATTTAATCACATGAGCAGTCACTTTGAGTTAAAATTAAGCACATGCAGAACTGTTTACAGGATTGGGGCGCAAGTCAAATTCTTGCATATGTATTTGTCAGAAGACCCAGCAGGGAGAATTGGAAACAGCCGTTTTGTGGTAGGGCCTAGGGGACAGATGTGATGCACATGTTTATGTGAGTGTGTGTCTGGCCTGAAAGGTGGGTCCGAAACATGCTTCCGTGATTATTCCTGGGCACGGGCTGCTGTTGGCTAGAATACAGGCTTTTGCATCTACGCGTGCTTGTTTTGGATGCATCTTCATTATGAGCCTAAAACTGAGCCATAGCCCTAATTTATTGATTTGTTCTATTAGGGGGTGTTGCAACTAAGTAATCCAATCTGGCTTTTTTAAAAACGTTTTTTATCCTGTTAACCTTGGACTCCCCCTTGCATTAAACAACTCTAGATTTGTTTAAAAGGAAAGTAATTAACCGAACAAAGTAGTGCTAATCACAGTGCTCTCCTCCCAGCTATGTTTACAACTTAACGATTTATAATCTCTTTTTATTTCTAAACTGGCTTGAAGAAAACAGTAGATAATATTTAACCCTTTTCATCTTCAGAGTACTTTACAAACATTAATTACTTAATCCTCACAGGTGGGTGTGTACTATTATCCCAATTTTATAGGTGGAAAAATTGAGACACAGAGGGATTAAGGCTGTATCTGTACAAGACTTTTTATCTTAACATATCCCATTGCTGCAGCTCCACTCGTAGTAGTGCTAGTATAGTCTGGTCATTGGTCAGAACTTCAGTTTTGTCTCATTCCCAAAGACAGAATTTAAACTGAAAACTCCATAGAAAGTTCTTTGATGACTTTGTCTTCGTACCTGCCGATAAAGCACCTTGCACATTGTTAGCAGTATATAAATAATAATATTATTCACTCCAGGAGTGCCTTGTTTGACTGTTCTATAGAACAGCATTAATCCAGAGGAAAGACTGTTAGCTACTGACTCATTAACACAAGGGTCGGCAACGTTTGGCATGCGGCTCGCCAGGGTAAGTACCCTGGCGGGCCGGGCCAGTTTATTTACCTGCTGACACGGCAGGTTC